TGAAATATCGCTATTTAAAGAAAACTTTGGCTATTTAAAAGCTTTGATACTAGTTTTTTCATAGTTAGCTAGCAATTCAAACAAAACAACAGTGGCACTCAATTATTTAAATAGCTGCGTGGCTCATTGTTTTGCGTTCTGGTGTTTTTGAATTCATCCTCACATCAACTAAGCAACCCCCTGCTAGTGGTTTATTTTGTTTTTTTCGAAATAAAAGATATTAGATGATAAAAAGATAAAATAAAAAAAACGAATTCATCCTCACATCAACCCAACAACCCTCTGCTCGTGATTTATTTTATTTTTTTTTTGAAGTAAAAGAAATTAGATGATAAAAAGATGAAATAATAAGAAAGAATCCATCTTGTTATCAACCAAACACAAACCTCTGATCGTAGTTTATTTTTTTTCAAAGTAAAAGATATTACATGATAGAAAGATTGCATAAAAAAACGAATTCATTCTCACTCAACCAAACAAACCTCTGCTCGTGGTTTATTTTGCTTTTTTTTATTACAGTAAAACGTATTAGATGATAAAAAGATGAAATAAGCAAAAAACAAATTCATCCTCATATCAACTAAACAAACCCTGTTCTGAAGAATCAGCAAGGTAGGATGAATATTTGAGCAAAATATCTACTAGTGATGATAACGTAGTATTCTTTTTGATGCTTATAAGAATAAACATATAATTGTCAGTATTTTTTATTGTTAGAAATCGCAGACCCTGATTTAGGTTTTTTTCTTTTCTATCGCAATTTTAAATAGTTGCAAGATATTTAGATAGCAATGATAGGATAAAATAGGCAAATGAATAATTAAATTTCTATGCAAATCATTAAATAGCTACAAAATCTTTAGAAAGCTATGATAGGATTAAATAGCTATGTAAATCATTAGATAGCTATAGCAACTTTAAATAGCTACAAGATCTTTAGATAGCTATGATAGCATTAAATAGCTATGCAAATCATTAAATAGCTGTGCAAATCTTTAAATAGCTATAGCAAGTTTAAATAGCTGCAAGATCTTTAGATAGCTATGATAGCATTAAATAGCCAAATGAATGATTAAATAGCTATGTAAATCATTAGATAGCTATAGCAAGTTTAAATAGCTACAAGATCTTTAGATAGCTATGATAAGATTAAATAGGCAAGTAAATGATTAAATTGCCATGCAAATAATTAAATAGCTGTGCAAATCTTTAAATAGTTGTAGCAAGTTTAAATAGCTGCAAGATCTTTAGATAGCTATGATAGCATTAAATAGTCAAGTCAAAGATTAAATAGCTATGGAAATTATTAAATAGCTATAGCAACTTT